AGGAGAAATCTAGGCTCAAGAGAGAGGAGAAAATGAAGGAGGAGGAGAGGGACATACCTGAGGCCAGAAGCCAGGCAGCCATGAGACAGACAGGAGAAGCAGTGAAAGTAAGATACACAGAAAAAAAGTAAAAAGCCCTGAGGTAAAACGTAGATAAAGAGAAACAGATTAAAATGAGAGCTAAGCTAAGGCTGAGCATTCAGAACTAAAAATAAGTCTCCATGTCTTGACTTGGGAACTGGTTGGTGGTCTAAAAGAAAAAGCCTAGTACAGAACTAAATCCAACATTCTCCACCACTAAACTGTTGAAATCGTGCAGTATATAATCATTTAAAGCTTATTTTATTTTTTAGCCAACATAACTCTCTTGACAAGTGTCAAAGTTGTTGGGTTTATGTGCAGTTATCTCTTTTTATTGCTAAGTCATAGTCTATTATATGATGGTACCACATTCATTTTAGCTAGCCTTCCAAACTACCTTTGGAAAAAACAGTCATTTCCAATTTGGGTGAATATGAATAGAGCCACTGGGAACGTTTAGCTATAGTTTCTGTGCACAGTTATTTCCCTTATATAGGATAAATACCTTGGGATTGGGTCATACCACACCATTTTGCATTCATAGCAGGGCTGTATGAGAATTCCATGAGTTCACATACCCCCTAGTTCTTACTACTACCAGCTTTGTTTGCTTTTTTGAAAACCAAATTTAGCAGCTGTGAGGTCATGGTGCATGCTTCTAATCTCAGCACTCAGGAGGCAGAGATAAGTGGATCTTTGAGTTCAAGGCCAGCATAATCTACAGATTAAGTTCCAGGACAAAGGTTACACAGAGAAAACCTGTCTCAAAAAAGCAAAATAAGTAAATAGATAGATAGACAGACAGATACATTTAGCTACTGGAGTAGATTTGCAATAGTTGTCCCCTGTAACGAGTACGGTTTTTCCGCCTGCTGCCCGGTCTTGTCCTGCTACCACGCCACCAGCCCCAAATAACACACAGAGACTCTGTATTTGATACAATACTGTTGGCCCGGTTACTTGTTACTTATCGGCTAGCTCTGCCTTTAATTATTAACCCATTTCTATGTATCTTCACATGGCCTTCTCTTACCGGAGAGGCGGCTGGCGTCCAGCTCTCTCCAGACTCTCCATCTTGACTCCTCCTTACTACTTCCTATTTCCTCCTTGTCTCCTAGTCCCTCCTATCTTCCTTTCCTATTGGCCAACAGTGCTTTATTATTAACCAGTATGAGAAACATATACAGAATGACATCTCCCATCAGTCCCCTAAAAGGATGGAAACTGCTTGTGAAACTATTGAGGATCACGGCTCTCACAAGCTGGCAAACTCCCTTGTATTTCCAATCATAGGCCAGTTGGGAAGAGATAAGCAATAGTACTATCAAGGCAAGGAAGTCAGCTTTCAAGAATAGTCCAGATGAGGATGCTGCTAAATTATATTTTTATATTTCCACCCCCTGTAAGACTTCCATACTAGAATGTGTTTAATAGCTTATTTTAGCACACTAATCCCACCACAGAGTATGGTGAAAGCTGAATTAACACATGTAGGCACTGCAAGGACAACACTCCTCAGTGACCCAGTGCAAGGACACAAAGGGACAGTAGAAATAAATGACCAATTAGACTTTCTGTAACATAAAAAGAAACTTTATAGGATTATGAAAGTGAATTTTATTATTTAGGTAACAGTGTTTTGTAATAGATAATGAACAATGAAACTTTTTAAATTTTTAGTATATCAAAAGGAAAACATTAGTTAATGCTGTGTGCATAGAATCTGTCTTGGTTATGACTATGCACTGTATCCGCTATACACATACTAACAACATATATGATAAAGTACAAAAACACAAGAAGAGGCTAAATAGGAAATTATCCTTGGGTTATAGTCATCAGGTAACATATACTCATTATCACACAATCATGTCACAGCTGAAAACATACTAATTAACACACATGACAATGTGTTTAATTTGGTCCAATACAGCCTTGGTGTGAAAACATTAAGAGTGTGGTAACATTTCACAGGGAAAGGCTAAGTTCTGGGGCATGAATTCTTTTGATTAATCCACAAGACATACCTGAGGCATCTTTTTGTTTGTTTGTTTGTTTGTTTGTTTTGAAAGAAAAAAAGGAATGTTCTCATGCAGCCCAAGCTTTATTACACAAATGAGGCATTTAATAAAAGTGTACTTTTTCTGTGCTAAGCTGAAGTGGACATTCTGACTTACATGGTGATCAGCAAGTGAAGTCCCTCTGTGACAGAAATGAAATTAGGCTCTGTGATTAAGCCAGTAATCTATCACAATAGCCTCCATATTTGCTAATTATTACTCATTTCTGGTTGACAACCTTCTTCTTTTCACTAGGTTCTAAGTATACCAAGCAAAGTGCATGCATGTGCACACACACATATACACACCACACACACACAGAGAGACACACACACACATACACACACACCACCCCACACACACATACACCACACACACACACACACACACACACACACACACACCACACAAACACACATCGCTTCTTTCCCAGCCACTAAAAGCATCAGATGAAAATAACTACACCATTCACAAAATAAATATCTGGGCTTTGTTAACTTAACGAGGGGTCCAGATAACAACTTTCACTGTTATGAATTTCTCAGAGTAAAGAGGCCACCAGAGCCCATGTCACTATGTCACTGTCCCAGTCCTACTGAGGCACAAGCTTTCAAAGATGTCTAAAAAAAAAAAAAAAAAAAAAAAAAAAAAAACTTTAAAAACTTGATAGAGTTGACTTTTGTAGTTGAAATTAAGACCTTTAAAATACTGACACAACCCATGTTTCACATTCAAGGGGTTCTGGTGTGAAAACTTATATAAAGGTTAACTTTTTACAATTCAATTTCCAACTACAAAATAGTTGTGTGTCTGGGGAGGTAGAGGGAGGCTAGGGCGATTCTTAAGATATCCTTGAAATTTCAGGGCTGCTACTCCAAACATTTTTTTTTCTAAACATTCATGCTTCCAATTTTATAGTTCAATAAATTAATTTGGAGAATGGGAACCATTTAGACATCTTTCTTCTTCGTACTCATTCTTTGGCTTGCGACTTCTGGCCACCTCCACATGCAACCCATCATATACACTCCATCCTTTGTAATTTTGATATGAAAATTCCAAAAAGCCCAATGAAACAGAGCAAACAATAAGCTCAGTGCTGCAGGCTTCTTTTGTTACATCTAATTGCAATGAAAACAGAAATGAGAACACTCCCCTCCACCCCCACCAGCCCTGTGCCTACTTTTGCACTCTTCCAGCCCTTCTTGAAGGGTTTTCGGCTTGTTTACATAATCCAAATGCACATACGTCTTCTTTCCTAGCTACTAAAAAGCAACTGCTCATAGTATGCTGTCCTAACAAGAGAGCTGATCTGAGCTGTCTTCAGAGTCTCACAATGCAGGGGCTAAACATCCTCCCAGGACCAAAGTAATAATAATAATGATGATGATGATGATGATGATGATGATGAAAAGGGGAAAAATCACAGACCTTAATACTGAATTTAAAAAACAATAACAGTAACAATAATGATAAAAACATTTAAAGAGAAACTACCCAGCTGTGGTTAGTTTCCTATCGTATGGTCTAATACAGAGAACACCTAGGAAATTCATGGCCTTTTTTCAGTATCTGTCCTCAAAGGTATCTGTCCTCAAATCTCACCCTTGAAGGGAGGATGATCATATTTCCTCTAGCGTCAACTGAGAGGAAATAATCAAGATGAATTTTAAGTTCATTTAAAATCAAAGCATGCCAAGAGTATGGAGTCTTAACACTATTAGTGGGGTCAATTCTAGAAGGAGCATCAGTATTCTAATAACTACCGACAAGAACATATTCTGCTGATTTAATTTTGAGATTTGTCCCTTGTCTGAACCTTGAATGAGGAAAAAAATCTTTCTGTTACTTGGTTCTCTGATGTCAAAACAAATTGATGTAGTCAAGCTCATTTCCTGGATTTGGGTAAATTTCAACTGATTACACTTTTTGGTTTACAGTATGACATAAAAAATATATGCTTCAAATGTTTTTCTGATCAAATGTTTAATACTCATATGATGTTTATGAATAATTGTGTAACAAATTTATATGCATTGAATAGTATTTGGGGATGTGAAATTTTTTTTTAGTTTATGAGACTTATTACTGAGACCAATTTATTATAATCTCATATTTAAAAGCTTAAGCTGGACTGGCAAATCTTTTTCTCCTCATAACTGGAATAGTTTACTTTAGCAGTCAAATGGCATGTAGCTTTAACTTGTTAAAAAAAAAATGTCATCTAAACAATTTACCTTTAATCTCTGAAACATATTGTAGTTAATAAATTAACTATTAATTTCTTTTTGAGAAACTGACTTTATGGCCCATCCTAAAGTGGGAGGCACATTTACAGGCATAAAGAAAACCTCATCCAGAGGGCTACTACAAAGGAGTTAAAGTTTTTTCCAAAGTAGGTTGTTTCTTGGAGGAGTCTTTACAATTTTTTCTCTCACTGAAATCACTTGTCTTTGAATCTTGAGTTTATCCTAAACCTTTGCTTAGTGTAGTTTCTGAAGGGGTAAATTTCTGCACATATAAGTTCCATCTCAAATCTGCCTACAAAGGCAGAAGTACTGAAATACTTTGTTCACATCTATTAATATGTGTGCATATGTTTAATTGGGGGGGGGGGTTCCCTTAGGAAGTTTTTGCTGACAGGATTCAAATTCCTTGGGCCCTTTTACACTGATTCAAAAATACTTCCAGTAATGGAAGCACATGCAGGTGAGGAGCCCTGAATTGGTAAATGCTCCTCACCTTCAGGCCACTTGATTTCTACTCACTTTAGAGAAGTAATAACAAAACTGGAGCTCAAAAAACAAACAAAAACCCTGTGTTTTCTCCCCCGGCGGACATTCTTCTAACATATCAGCTGCCTCTGGCTTCTCACTGGCCAGCCTCTTCAGTTTGCAGCTTCTGAACAGCACTGTCAAGGAGCTCCATGGACTCTCTGAGAGACACGTGGATTTTAAAGGACTTGGGCTTAATGGTCAGGCCGTAACTGAAACTCATGTTTGAGGGCTCATTTTGGTTAGCCTTGAAATCGCACTGATGAGCGAGGATGGAGAAGAAAAGAAACAGCAGCATCTTAGACAGCTCTTCGCCAATGCACCGCCGTTTGCCCACCGAAAAAATCATCACACTGCTGGCTAGTTCCTTGTTGATGAAGCCGTCTTTGTCCAGGAATCGGGCTGGATCAAAATCCTCTGGGTTAGGCCACTTCGCTGGGTCATGATTCACAGACCACTGGTTAACAAAAACCACCGTGTTCTTGGGAATGTAGTAGCCTAGCACAAAGGTGTTGGCAGTGGTGGCATGAGGAATGGTAACAGGTAAAAAGCTGGAGAACCTCATTGATTCATAAAGAAAAGCCATGATATATGGCAAGTTGGGCTGGTCAGCCATGCAGGGTAGACGGTCCCTCCCCACAACCTGGTCCAGCTCAGCCTGCACCCGAGCCTGCACATTGGGGTATCTGTTTGGATCACAGTATGAAAGGGAGGGATAGGAGAAAGAGAGGAGAGAAGAGAGAGAGAGAGAGAGAGAGAGAGAGAGAGAGAGGAGAGTTAGTCCATCTTTCACCTAACAGCACACTACAGTTCTAATTCTACAAACTATATAGGTCTGTAACTGAATGACAATTTCTGAAAGAAAATCCAAAACAGATTACTAATATCTCTCATTCAATATTACAAGTTAAACAATAACAATTTTATTTTTTTTTTCTGTAATAAGCCTCTTATGGCCCAGGATTTATTTCCCACTGTGAGAAAATAAAGCTCTTAAGTTTTTTAAGTCTAAAAACGCATGATAGTGGCAAAATCTACTAGGCACAGTGCCTAGGCCCACAATACATTTTAGACACCTAGGAAAATATTTGTCTATCTCTTAAGACCTTCAGAGCTAAATAAATGGACTTATAAGTAGAGGTTCTCATAACACATTTCAACATTCACCTTATTACCAACATTGTCATAAAATATTTTTTCAATGTGTTTATAAAGAAGACTACAAAGGCAAGAAGACCCCAGCCCCACAAAAGTTAAAAGTCTGCCCAGAAAGCAGATTATTTTCCTTCCCTCACATCCTTAGGCAATTAATTGTTCTTATTTTATAAAGTATTATAAAAGAAGTAAATTTAAAGAGCAGAGCCCCAGTTTGTCAAATAGGGATACACACTTTACTTCTGCACTGTTGCTGATAGAAACTGGGACAGCTCTTTTGGAAGACAAAATCTTAGTGTACAGTAAACTCTATAAAAGGCAGCAATCCCTTTCTCCTTCATTTTTAACCCCAAGTATTTATCCCAAGAAGCCTATTTTCAGAAAATAGTATAACAGGTATAATGATATATGATCATAACAATACTTAAAATGCAGTCAAAACCAACCAAAGAATGTTAAAGCTTAAAACTGATTTGATGTATGTACAATATCAGGAAGGGATAGTATGTAGCCATCAAAATTACTAAAATCCAGGCCAGAGAGGCCTCCATGGTTAAGGGCAGCAGCTGCTCTTGCAGAGTTTCTGAAAACAGTTCCAGCAGCAATGTGACAGCTGACTGCAGTTTGTAACTCCAGTCCCAAGGGATCTACCCTCTTCTGGCCTCTGCAGACACTAGGCATGCACTGGATACACAGACATACACTAGGGCAAAACCTCCATATACATTAAACAAAGTAAAAAATTTAAAAATCTTTTTTAAAAGAAAAAGAACATACTAAAATCAATGTTAAACTTGAGGAAGTTTAAGCAGTAGGCTCAAAAAGGATGGAGTAGAGGAGAATAATTGCAGCCACTGAAAAGAGGCATTTAAATGGTGGTGTTAAAATCACTTAACAGAACTTCCCAACATTTTCCACGAAGGGCCAAATAGTAAGCATTTTGGACAGCATGAAGTATACCCTCCCTCCAACATGTACTAGTTTACCTTGTAGTGTGAAAGCAGACACTCTGTAGGAGTGGGCTAGCTGCTTCTATAAAATTTACACTCTTAAACAGACATTGTAATTTGCCCACTCTAATTATAATCACAAAAAAGAAAAAGTAATGTCATCTTTATTTAAGTGGCAATGACCCCAAAATTATTATATTTCTTTGGAACACATGGAAAGCTACTTACACAGCTCAATGGTTTTTGTTTTGTTTTGTTTTTTCTCAAAGGATCTTGGTATGTGAAAGACCTGGTGAGCCCACTCCAAGAAGGCCTTCTTCCTGATCTTGGGTTGAATTCTTTCATTCTCTTTCTGCTTCCCCTACTCCCCACATCCCAGTATTTCCAGTATATGTTTACACGATTTGACTTTAATATTGAAAAGTTATTTTCAATATACTAAAAAATGTGAAAGTAGATGTACAACATCTAAAGAAATATGAGTTGTGCGAATCCCAAAAGGAAGTGGACTCTGCCAAATTCGGAGGGGCATGCACATGCAGTATCTCTTAGGTTCTAAGAAAGGGAGAAGAGTTTCCAGATAAATACAGGCTAAATCAGAATTTCACGTAAACAATAGATGATCCAGCGTCAAATTTCAATAAAGGATTCATTTGCTTAGACCACCTGACAGTGGCAGGAGGGCAGCTGCTTAATCCTTGCATGCAGCCTTGCAGTGCAGTGCAGGTCTGTGCCCTAACCCAGAGATTAGGATGGCCCATGGCACCTCCTGGATACCTTAGACTCCTCTAGATGCCTACTCTGGCTTTCTTTGCGACCACCTTATTCTCAGGTTGTCCTCTGAACCCCTGCCTCCGATGGCTTCCTTTGCCTGCTTACAAAGCCCTGCCCTGCCACTGGATGTTAAGACACGAGCCAGGCAGCTTTCGAGGTGCCAGCTGTGCTCCGTGTTTAGTTAACATTTTACAGCACCTTCTTTAAGCTTGGAACTGGCCCAATTCTGCTTCTGTTGAGACACGGAAGGATCAAAACTGATCTGTCCTCATTGGGGGGGGGGGGATCTTGTTTTTTAGGGCGAGAACTCTTCATAAATTTGTTCCCAGTTACAAGAGGAGTGGAGAGGAACAGAGACAATTCCAGAAATGCTGACAACGCCTCGCTGTCCCTGTTGGTCTGGGATTATCAACCAAGAGATCTCAGTTTTAAGGAATGGGGGGTGGGGCAGGGAGAAACCTCAAACCCGGTGCCTGCTAGTGACCTTTTAGCTACATGCCCTTTATCAAAGGAGAAAACGCAAGGACCTCTCCATCCATCCCTCTGGAGGCTTTACCTGGTAAATAGGATGAGCAGCCAGAGCAGCGCGGTGGAGAGGGTATCCTGGCTAGCTCCGAAGATGTCTGTAATAGTAGCCGGCACATTCTCCAAGTCCAGCCCGAAGGAACCCTCGCCATAGCCCCCGGCCTCCTTCTTTTTGGCGGAAAGTATGAAGGCGTCCATCATGTCGCGGGGAGCAGCCCCGGGCACCAGGGTTTCGCGGTGCCTGAAGAACTTGTCCAGGACAAAGTTGGTGAAGCTACGGTTGACCTGCTCGAACTCGCGGAAAGTGGTGCGCACCGAGTTAGGGAAGAGCTGCAGCCAGGGCAGCACGTCCACCAGGCTGCCGGCACCTACCGTGCGCCCGAAGTCTTCGTTATGGCTGAGCAGCTCCAGGAACTCGGCATCGTCGTGGTTGTACCTGCAGCCGAAGCACACGGCGCTCATAACATTGGCTATCGCCACGATGATCGGCTGCATCGGATCCAGAACTGCACCGCTCGAGCAGCGTCGCACCAGCACCGCCACCAACTCTCGCGCCTCGCACAGTGCGTGGCTCTCAAGGAGGCGGCGGCTGCGCGGGTGGCGCGTGGAAAAGGCACGCATAGTGCCGTAGGCCGCACGTCGCTGCGCCTTCCAGCGCTCTGAGTAGTGACCAAACGCCAGGCTATGGCCACCAGACACCACCCTGAAAGAGGCGAAGGGCGGCCGGTCCGCGAAGATGTTTCCCTGCTGCACCAGGGCTTCGTGGATGGCACTCTCGCCATTCAGCACTACCACGGCACAGCTGCCCAGACGGATCTGGAAAATGTCGCCATAGCGCCTCGCAAGACGAGCGAAGTAGAGGTGTGATGCCCGGCCCACAGATGCCGCATTTCCGATCACTGGCCATGGGAAAGGACCCGGGGGCGAAGACCAAGGCTTCCCACAGCACAGTCTCAGCAGCCACTGTCCCAAGTGCACAGCGGCCAGGACAGAGAGGAGTAGCAAAAGTGTTGTCTGCTGGGAAGACAGCGGGCTCAGCTGCTGCGGGCTATCTGTGCTAAGGCTGGTGGCCATGCTGGTGACACAAAGGCAAAACGTAACACTCAGGTGTGCAAAGGAGAAAAAAAGGGGGTGCCTCGTCCCCAGCCCCAGCACAGGACTATAGAGCCCTGTTGTACAGAGAGAAGGCAGTGCATAGCTCAGGTCAAGGATTGCTTTCTGGACAAGATGCTTAAGACGCCCCTGCCATACCCAACCCAACCTCCAGCAGAAACATGACAGTTTCAGAATCCCCATCCCCAGCTGCCTAAATGTTCCCAGAATTCTGACACAACACCGGTGGCAGACACAGAGACAGTTTTTGTTTGTTTGTTTTTTTAAGTACCTAACACCCCAGCCCTGATTTAAGAACTGGTCTGAAGATACCACAGGAAGGTGGCCCTTCACAGAGAGACTGACCTGCGATGAAGCGTGCTTTTTCCAGCGATGCAGAGCTACCGGCTCTGGGAGAAGACTGCCCAGAGCAAGACTTCAACCTCAGAATCCCCAGGGACCTGCAGGCCTGCCCTAGACACCTGATGCCCGCTGCTTTAGCATCCACTCTTGGTACAGGGGTGGGGAGTGAGGGGTTGGGGGGTGTCTCAAGTTTGCTGAGCTCCACTGCACTTGGGGCTCGGCAAAGTCGGGGCTTTCTCACCGAGTTGAAGTTGCGGTTGAGATGGGTAGGGGTTGGGAGTTGATAAAGTGGAGTCAAATCCCAGGCAGCTTTCAAGCTGGCATTGCAGAGGTGTCTGCAATGCAACCCAGAGGCGACACGCGCCATCCCTCTACCCGGGGTTTTAAGGACTGGGTAGAGACTGGGGGAAAAGGGACCTTGAGGGGGTGGGGCGTGAGGGGCGGGACATGCTGCGAAAGTCTGGGACCTGGACTCAGGTTTCGCATCAGTGCTCAGAGTGACCCAGGGTGGCCCAATGGAAAGTCCGCGCCGCTGGCTGGACTTCCTGGAACTGTAGCTGGCAGTTTTGTCGAGAGCCGCCTCGTAAAGTTTTCCTTTGGCGATAACGGCTTGTCATCAGTCATCATCCTCCATTCAAATCCTCACGCTTTCCCCAGAACAGAGTTTGGGACAGAATTTCCCACGCTTCTGTGCTCTTGAGCAGAGATCACCCAAGAGCACTCCCTCCTTCTGCAGATGACTCGAGCTTGGGGTCTTGTTCATGATCCTTAGGCACCAGCAAGAAAAGGAAATTTGTCGTTTTAGGAACGGGGTAGATTGGGTTGCGACGGTTTGTGTAGCATTTATTTTTGTCTTAAGGTTTTGCAAACCATTTAGCCCTACAGCCGTGGGCCTTTGTGTGCTTAGATCTCTTTCCACCTCTACTGACGAGATCAGGAAACCCTGAAGCTGTAGCCCTATGGACCATTCTTAGGCACACAACGCTCAGCAGGCCTGATGGCTTCCCGCGTTGAAGAGATAGTGACACGCCACCTGCTGGACGCTCTGGTCACACCCAAGCTGTGATCCAAGCTTGGGGCAGTCCTGGAGCCGGAGGAGACCTAAGAGGGGGCGGTGAGTGGGAGGAGGAGGCAGCTCTGTAAGCCTGCGAACAATTGGGTTGAAAAGTTTCTGCTGCCGCCTCCCCCTTGCGTGCGGAGCTTTGCCTTGCGTGCGCCGCTTCTGGGAAGTCGGCTCCAGTCATCTCCCTGGGCGCTGCTCGCGGGCCGCCCCTCCCGCGTTTCTCACGCCACCTGACACGCCGAGGCGGCTGCCAAGGGCGGGGTGCCTGCCGCCACCACCCTCGGCGACGCACGCACAGCTGCGCCCTCTGGGCCTGCCCGGAGGATGCTCGATCGCAGTCCGCTTGTCCACCCTCATTCACTCAGCAGCCTGGTTCCCAAACAAGGGGTACTGGCCATGGGGAGCTTCCTTCAAAAGGAATGCCACGGGTTGTCGCAAAGTCCTGGAAGCAGCTGCTCCTGTTAGGACCAGTTAAGGCTCAGAGTAGCACTTTCAAAACACCTGTGAGAACAAGGTTTCTGCCAGGCTCTGAAAGGGCGAGCCAGTGGAAGAGGCAGAGTGCTTCTCGTTAGTCAAGCAGGAATTGTAACTCCAGGCCATTGGTGTGCTCTCTGAACAACCCACTCCCAACACTGTGTTAAATTGTCTCGTTTACAAAAAACAGATTCAGAGGGATTATGGGACTTAAGTCACAAGGTTCTCTAGAGGTGGAGACAGGATTTGAACTCACAAAGTCCACTCTAAAGTATGCAATAAAAGCATACTTAGAGGCTCAAAGTTGTCTTTCTTGCTAAAAATAAATAATATATTATGTAAAATTTATATACGATATATACATAAATATATTTGTATGTACATACACAATATTATATAATATATATATACCGCAAAGAGCTAGCCAGAGGCTCAACAGCCAAAAACCTGACTACCTGAGCTAGATGCCTGACACCCTCAAGGCACAAGGAGAGAAGCAGAAGCAACTTACACAAGTAACCTCCCACCTCCCATCTGTGCCAGAACACACAGGCACACACATAGTACATGTAATATGTTTTTAATCCGCTGAAAGGATTTGATGCTTTTGGTTCATGACCAAGGGTTGTAATACTCACAAAGTATGCTCACCACCCTTGAATTGGTCATATATGAGAAAGGCTGGGGGAGGATGCCTCACAGCGGATGTTGGAATAACTGATGGTGTTATAAAGAAACTTAAAGGTGTCTGGAAAGAAGTCTAATGTCTTTTAATAAAATGCCTGGCCTGCTAAGAAAATGCCTTTTAATGAGTGTTTTCAGTAATGTTTGTTATGCTTTCTAGATGAGATTTTATGTGTACCATGGTAGAGTACTAAGACCAGGGATAAAGTTGGCCTGGTGGGCCAGCGCATTAGTTTAATAACGACTATTAAGTTTCTCAGAGCTGCACTGGTCCAACACGTCTGTCTTAGTTTATTTTTGTCATGTTGTAACAAAATGCTTGAGACTGGTCCATTTGCAGAGGAAAATAGACTTACTTGGGATCACAGTTCAAGAGGCAGGAAAGCCCTCCAAGAGTGTTATACCAACTCCTGAGAAGAGAGAGAAGGGAGGGGATAGCCAGACCAAGGTCCATTAGAGCACCATGTATCCAGGAAAGGCCATACACACATAATACAGCATGTTCTTTGCTCCCAGTATCCAGAAGCTTCTTCCAGGCACCACCACAACATTGAGAAATTAAAGTGGTAACGCATACACTCTTGGGAGACACACAGACCTTAATAAGCTCTTCTGAAGGAGGTTTGTGGCAACCTTTTAGGATTCAGCTTTAGTGGGGCCCTGGGACTCTGCCAACAGCACTAGTCTCCCTCCACACTAATTTAGGACATGGAATCACCAACCATCCGGCGTACATTCTGAACCCATCTCTACCAGAATTAGAGAAGGTGGGAGCTGCCTTCAAACCAAGTCAGCTTTTATCTTAAAGTCTAAAGCAAGGCTGAGGCCTCCTTTTTAACAAATGTTGTATAGCCACAGCAAATGTCCTTGGGCCAGCTCTTGTTCCTCAAAAAGTAGAGGAACCAGTTGGACAGATGTCAGGGAGATAGGCTCCTATCAAAGAAGACAAACCAATGTGGCTGGCCACAGTGTGCTGTCTCCAGACCTCAGGCTTTTCCAGGCTTTTTGGTACAAATGTCACTGAAGGGATAGACTTAGTCCTCAATTAAAACTCCAGTGTAAATAAAAATGGATAGTGTAAGGATTCAGGCATTATGCTGGCCTGCCCCGTCACCTGGCAGAATGTACTCAGGCAGTACTCTGGTCAGCCCAGGGTTCCATGAGTACTAGTCTGCACACAGGTTCAAAGCACCCCTTTAAAAGTCAGACTCCAGCCCACTTATGCTCTCTTTCTGCTCTTTTCGGCTGTTCCCTCTCTCTCTCTGCTCTCCTCTCTTTCTGCTCTTTTTTCCAGCTCTCTTCCCAATCTCTCTTTCCCCTAGGCCAGACAGGACTTTTCCTGTCCCCCTCTTCTCTTCTGTCCTCTCTCTGTCTCTTTACCTCTTTTCTCTTTCCTACCCCCTTTCTAATGAAATTTCTCATTTAAACTCTGTCTGCCTGGTGTGTTTGTCCCTCTGCCTCAGTCACCCTCACCTGCCATGGAATCCACCATGGTCCCCCACCCATGGTCCCCCTCAAGCTTCATCCTAACAGATAGGTAGGTAGGAGGTAGATAGATAGATGATAGATAGATAGATAGATAGATAGATAGATAGATAGACAGATCTGAAGCACTGATATGTATTCCTGATCCATCCCAAAAAGTGTTTTGTTAACCAATCATCCACGTTGAGACTTTGGCATAACCATCAAAATGTGGAATCTCCTCTCCGTCAGCACAGAAGGGGGAGGAGGGCTTTCACCCTCTGAAATCTCAAACTTGAGTTTTTCATTCTTTCTTTTTTTTTTCTTCCTGGCAAGTAACTTTCAAAAAGAGCAGGTAAACTAGAAAGCGGTTTGAAGTGGGGGTTTAAAATGTCTTTACAGTGTATTGACTTCAAGACACAGCTGAAGTTTACACAGGGCAAAAATGCACCAGCCCAGGGAACAGTTGTGAGTTCTCACAGCATGGAATGACCCAGGCAGGGTGGCTCTTCCTGACTTCTACTTCTGCTGATACTTGTTCACTTGCTGGGGAAGCTGGCCATAGGCAGTATTCCACTGAAACCCCAGAGAAGGAAAATGTCTCTTTCAAGGTCCTAGGATTCTGATAGGCCAGGCTGGCATTGGGTTTCACACTATAATTAAGTGCTTGCTTTGTAATTAGGAAAGGAATGATGGCAAAACACCAGGAAGTCAAGAAACCAGCACAATCCACTCCATGCAAAGTGTGCACAGCAGTCAGTGCACAGCATTCTGACTTTGTTCTCAGCTCCATCTTACATCACCCCTCACCCCGACACGGTACCTTCACAGATGCAGCAGATGGTACAGCGATACTGCAACTGCCTTTACCAACAAATTCCCCAGCTGTTTTCTAGGCTTCCTTCCTGCAGGGCCTTTTTTCTTCCCCTTTTCA